AAAGACACAGACGTGGGCGAGCCAGGGCAGGCTGCGGTAAGGCGCAGCGAAGAGGGGCGATGCTGGACCTCGTTATTCTGAGCCTCCATTTCTTGATCTGCTTCCTCATCTCGGTGGTGATCTGGCGCGGAGCGAAGGTACGGTGCGGCTCTTGGTGGCTCGGCACCCCGCTGGCGCGGCAGCCGTTTTCCCGCCTGCAGCTCCCAGGGTCTCTCAGCACATGCAAAGACCTTTCCTAGCCCGATTTACTGAGGAAGCAAGGTTAGACTGGGAACTGGGAGGGAACTGGAAGGCAGTAGCTAAATGTAAGCAGTTTTCATGGGAAGGCAGGTTTTGTGATAAAACTACTTATGTCCTCTGCTGGGGTGAAGCTGTGCGACGTCTGAGATATGTTAGAGGAGGAAGGGAAAGGCAGACACATCTGCTAAAACGGCCAGGTTGAACACAGTTTCTCAATAAACCATTTTTTTTCCCTTTTCCAGGTTTTTATCAACTTACGTCAGTTTGTATTTCTAGCCATAAAGCTAGCTTAAAGAGTATTGGATTTGCATGCAGGTACTCCTGTCAACCCGTTGCATAGCTAAATACTGTAGTATCTTACGTGTAGCGTCCTTGCGTGTTTTTGCACGTAGCTTTCCCAGGGATATGGCAATGAAAGTGCAGAGTAAATGCATAGTGATTTAGAATTTATCTTGCTTCAGCCGCAGGTATCAGGTTTGCAGCAGCTGGTTTTTCCCAGTCCCGGTTCCGTCAGCGAGCGCGCTGGCGGAACGTTATCGCCGCACTCCCGTGCCTCACTTCGTGTGCCTGCTGATAGTCTGCTCCTAAAGCAGCTGCTCCTTTCACCTCACGTGTTAAATGGGTCGGGGTTTTCTCGGGGACAGAGACACTCATTTTACATGTAGAAATTAAAACAAAAACTGTTTCATAAGGTGGCTTTTTGATTTTTTTGTGTTTTAAGGATGTGGATGTGTACAGCTCGAGCACAGAAACAGTTGAAACGGGGACAGATGGTCTTATACTAGTTGGCAAAGAAGATGACATAAAGAAGTCCAAAAGAGTAACAGCCAAGGTCAATGGCAGAGAAGTTGTTGTTTTCTACCACGAAGGGAATTTTCATGCTATGGATTCTCGCTGCTACCGTAAGATATTTGCACATGTGATCTCAACGTTGCAACAATTAAGCATAAAATCTGTTGCGTAGATTAATGCTGTGTTCTACTGTGTTTCAGATGAAGGAGGCCCTTTGTTTCTTGGAGAAATAGAGGTATGTAGGCAAAATGAAATTTATGAGGCAGCATACAGTGATGCGAAAACTCTAATGCATTTTTTTGAATACTTTTATCCTTTTGTCTGAACATAACATGGAAAGAAATGGAGATACATGTAAAATAGCAGACAGCCATACAGCTAATCACCAAACATGTCTTTTGTCCTAGAAATTCTTCTAGGAGAAATGTGAGAAGCCGATGACTTGCTATTTTTATCTTCTTCTTGCAGGATATCAATGGTCATGCATGTATTGTTTGTCCTTGGCATAAGTATAAAATCACTTTAGAAACAGGAGAAGGATTATATGAAGCAGTAAACCCTTTGGAGCCATCACCAGCACCACAGTGGCAATCAAAAGGAGTTAAACAGAGGATTCATAAAGTCACAATGGACAATGGAAACGTTTATGTGACTCCTCCAGATTTGTCTGTAAGCTTCGACTCCGATTATTTTGCTGAGAAGTACAAAAATAATGGTGATTCATCTATGGAAAAACAAAGCAACTCACAAGCAGCAGAGTCGGTTGTGGCCAGAAACCAGAATCCTGGTGAATGCGGCAACGAAGAACCGTTGTCGTGAAAGAAAAATGTACTGTGACCATGACGTTTGTCTCCAGGTTAAATTCTAGTGTTAATGTTTTGTTAAAGCATTAAAACGTGTAGAATTGGGTAAGACAAGAAGCTCTTCATTGTCAGAAATGGGACTGATATTGTGCCCATGATTTTTTTTTTTTTGCACGTGCTTTTCAAAAAGACTTATTTATAGCAGATGTTTCATAATATTTGATATTTTAGAAACCCTCCTAAAAATTAAAACAATTCTAGCAAAATAGGATATGTAGTGTGTTTCTGCTTATAAAATACAATACATAGGTTAAGGTAAATAGTCAGGTATAAAGGTTATGTTTATGTACTTAACAGTTTACATTTATAATGCCTTCAGTATAGATGACATGGAAATTTTTCACTTTTTAGATATGTGAGCAATCTCTGGACATTTATTAAGTGCCACAAAGAAAAGTACAAAACTTGAGCGTATTTTAGTGACCTTCTTTACGCCTATTTGTGTATTACTACCATGATTCCATAGAAGTATTTATTTTCCTTCTCCTCACTGAAGTCCTTTTCAGTAGTGCGTCAAGTAATATGACAAGCATTTGCCATGCATAGCTTGTTCTTCCTGATTCTGTTGGATGAGGAAGAAGCTGTTGGGGATAAAAAAGTGATACATAATGCAGTGGCTTTTGTTTGTTTGTTTTTATTTACTGTAAATGCATTTTCATACATTCCTTTGAAAAGGTGTGCATTCTGTTTAAAGCCAGAAGTTAGGTTTCTCTGTGTGCGTTTAGTGTGTAATGTGAGATCTGCCCTGATAAACATTTTCCCTCTGAGCTGTGCTGGGCTGGGGGCAGGCCAGGATCCAGGATATGGAGGGTTCCCCTGCCCAGCCCACGGGGTCCGGTGGGCAGAGATGCTGTGCGGGTGCTTGGTGTCGCCTTGCATGGCTGCCGTTCCTCGGGGTACATTTTTGGGTGATTAGTTGCAAAGTTTGGTCACAATTGGGTTTGTTTTGAAGTTGCCTGGTCTTCATCTGTAAGCTTCTCCTGTGCGTGCAGTGGGCTTTTAATGTATGTGGAAGGTAAGTAGGTCTGTGTCAACACCATTGTTCATATAAATGTATTTAAAAGTAGTGAGGCGTAGGAACAGGCTGCCCAGGGCAGTGGTGGAGTCCCCATCCCTGGAGGGGTTCAAAAACTGTGTGGATTTGGCACTTCAGGACATGGTTTAGCAGGCATGGGGGTGATGGGTTGACGGTTGGACTTGGTGACTTTAGAGGTCTGCTCCAACCTTAATGATTCTGTGATTTTATGATTCTGTTCTAAGTATCAGAGGAGACTGTCTGTGCCCGATTGATCATGAAGAAAAAAGCAAAGCACACAACCAGTTTATTTCACCGCATTGAAATTTAGATGTCCACCTCTGATCGTGCCTCTTTGCATTTTTTTTGCGGTCGATAGGGAGAAGCGGCACCTTCAAGGTGCTGTCAAGCTGACCTGTCTCCGTTCTGTATTTTAGAAGAACTGCAGCACAGAAACACTTTCCTCCTCCTCCTCCTCTCACTGACCCCTCGGCCAGCCAGTGCCAATGATGCAAATGCCTGCCTTCTGTGAGATGAACCTCATCTTGGTCATCTGCTGGAAAACGCTGTTGTGTGCTGGCCAGTTCTGAGGGGTTTGTGTGTGTGTGTGTGTGTTTGTTTTTTAAAGGAATACATAGACTTCTCTACTTGCAGCCGCAGGGTAGATGTCAGGAAGGTGAGGTGGGAGGGAGGTGACACAGCCGATGCTCCAAGGGTCCTGGAGCACGCATCCCTTTGGGTGTTGTGGAGGGGGTTGGAGAATTGCTCCCCTTCCCTCCCTCCTCACCCAGCTACCTGCACCTGCGACGGAACTTAGATGTTGCTGTCTTCTCCTGTTGAAAGACACAAATCACATAAAATAAATCTATTGTAGGTTCTTCAGGTGTACCTGCATTGACTTGTGATTGCTTAGATAATATTTTCATTGCATTTTTTTTTTAAATACTGCATTAAAAGAAATTGACAATTTAAATTAACAAAGATGCCATTCGGTTTAAGAAAGTACCGATTATGAGTAATATGCTGTTGCCTGTACGACATTTAGTAGAATGTTAGTAACAGGAAGTTTTACTTGAAAGTTTCATGATGATGTTCGTATTAATGGGATAGCGCTCAGGCTTTTGCAGAATTGAATTTTCTGGCTAAAATCCAGCAAAGTGTTTAACGATATGTTTACTGTTTATCGTATGAAATCAGTGGAAGTGCATGTCCAGGCTTAGATAACTCCCTTTTCTTCAGTACTTCTCAAGAATAATAACTATTTGCAAGCCTTTACGGTGTTTTTACTTTTACTTTAAACATGTTCTTATTCCCAGGGAGATCGCATCAAAATAATAACTAAAGTTTGTTGGTTAGTTTGCTTTCCCCTCAGTTTTCTTGTTGATGATCACAGAAGGAACAGAGAATTATTAACTCAGGTGGCTGTGAGCAAAGGAGGGAGAGTTGGCTGGCAGTTATATTTTATTTTTTCTTTTATTTTCCTTTATTTTTGTGACAGGAAAGGGCAAAACCTACAGCATGTTAAAGTTGATACCTTTAAAAAAATATATTCACTAATCAAATTCGATTTGTCTGATCTTTGAAATGCTGGAGCATGCACCTGATTTGAAAGTACTGTAACCACTTAATGTCTGGGATTTGAACATTTCATAGAATCATAGCATCGTTAAGGTTGGAAAAGCCCTCTAAGATCATCAAGTCCAACCATCCACCCAACGCCACCACGCCTGCTAAACCATGTCCCCAAGTGCCACACCTACACGTTTTTTGAACAGAGGAACAGAGAATTATTAACTCAGGTGGCTGTGAGCAAAGGAGGGAGAGTTGGCTGGCAGTTATATTTTATTTTTTCTTTTATTTTCCTTTATTTTTGTGACAGGAAAGGGCAAAACCTACAGCATGTTAAAGTTGATACCTTTAAAAAAATATATTCACTAATCAAATTCGATTTGTCTGATCTTTGAAATGCTGGAGCATGCACCTGATTTGAAAATACTGTAACCACTTAATGTCTGGGAGTTGAACATTTCATAGAATCATAGAATCATAGCATCGTTAAGGTTGGAAAAGACCTCTAAGATCATCAAGTCCAACCATCCACCCAACGCCACCACGCCTGCTAAACCATGTCCCCAAGTGCCACCCCTACACGTTTTTTGAACAGCTCCAGGGATGGGGACTCCCCCACTGCCCTGGGCAGCCTGTTCCAAGGCCTGACTGCTCTTTCAGTAAAGAAATTGTTCCTAATATCTGAGTCTCTTGTCCTGCCAGCCCTTTCTAGTTCTCTGGTTCTGTGGATATATCGCGTGAAGACATAGAAGAAGACATGGGGATTCTCCTGGAAGAAAGCCAGTCAGGAGGTTGGTAGGGAGGGGTGGAGGTGGCACACGGGGGGATCTCGGATGTGGTGGGGAGTGGGGACGGCAGGCACTGGACCTGGATGAGAAGTGAGGAGTGTCGGGACAGGGAAGAGGAGGAGGTATTGGTACTCATGGGGGAAGGAGACTTCAGTGGGGATAACAAAAAATAGCAGCAAAAGGCACTTGTGGGAGGGGTGGGGGGGACCGAGAGGCATCCAGGGAGCCGCTGGACAACTGGGACATGGCTGTTTATAATTGGAGACTAATAGCAGGAGAAGGAGGGAGGTGAGGAGCGGTTGAGTTAAGGCAGTCAGACAGAGGTGGCGTTTAAGGGACAACAAAGAGGCAGAAGGAATGAGCAGTTGTGGGCAAGAGACCAAAAAGTCACTGGCTGGATAATTAGAGCTTCCTGGAGAGGCGTGTTGAGAGTGATGTTATGATCATAGAGTCATAGCATGGTAAGGGTTGGAAGGACACCTGAAAGATCATCTGGTTCCAACCCCCCTGCCATCAGCAGGGACCCCTTCCACCAGACCAGGTTGCTCAGAGCTCCATCCAACCTGGCCTTG